AAAAGATTTTGACTATTTTCCGCGGAAATTGAAAAGCCCCCAGCACCTAATTCGTTGCCTAGCTGCATATATTCTATTCTTTTTAAAAGCTTTTTCAAGTTTCAACAGACTCAAAGTAGCTTCAGACTCTAAAATCCCACAATTACCCAGGAGAAAACCTTTCACTCTTCCCGGTTCTGCTCCTTTTTCCAAGCATCTGCTGCCATTGTTACTCTCCCTCACAGGTACGTTTTTCAGCCTTCTCTCTTTCTTCACAGTTTTTCAGGGTTTTCGTTTGAAGTATTATTTATCATTTCTTTTCTGTTTTTTCTTTTGATAGATTTTTCCTTTTTCTGGGAATGGAATTTGGAATATGTCTGGTGTTCCTTTTTTTTTTTTTTTGAATTAAGGGCAGCATTATTGTTCGCTTTTATTTGGAACCGTTAAATGGCCTTAAAGATTTCTCCTTTCTGTTTAGGGGGAGTAGTGGTGTGGGGTTTTGGCTTTGGCTAACTATAACAGAATTTGGTTGATCAATATGAAAACCCAATTGAGAATGTGACCGCATTTGTGTATGGTTTTGGAGACTGATTGCTAGTTTTTCTTCACTTACTGACAACTCTGCATGATTTCTTTTATTTTTTATTTTGCTTATAAATAACTATACAGCTGTTCTGGAAATGACCGATTGACCATCATATATATATCCAGGAAAAGCATGACATAAGCCCAAAATAAAAAAAAAATAAAATTATTGCCACCGTTGAGCATACAGAACTAATGCGCATGTATAATTCTCAGGAAGGAAATATTTATCGAGTTTTGATTAAAAGAAATTAGTTAGGGTTGGAAAGTATTGGCTGACGTCAAGAAATAAACTGAACATCTCTCATAGTACCACTGTATTCATAAGGAATTGATAGTGAATTTCGAGTTGGAAACTTACATATTCTAATTGCACAGGTAACTAACAAAATTTAAACAGGTCCGTAAATAATCGGAGCATTATGTAGTTAAATAAAATACTAATGGGGTAAGTCACTCAAGGTTTGCTTGCTGCTCCATCCATGGGAAAAGCAGTCCAGACAAAAAACCCAATTAATTAGCAGCTCATTTCACCGGCTAGCTTAGCTCTACAGCTCTACAGCTCTAGTATATACCTTGTAGAATTCACCAACAAATTCATGCATGACAAACCTAAAAAAAAACACACACACACACACACAAATCAAAGGGGCAGTGACATATCCAAAAAAATAATTGCAAAAGGGGGATGTAAGTCATAAAACAACGAAAATCAATTAATTATTACTCTATTAATTAGGGGAAAAAATGTACTGCACAAACACTTGCGAGTCCGAGAAGTGTGACTACAGAGTTTTAAATGGTAAAAAAAAAAAAAAAAGAAAGAAAGAAAAAAGCCAGCTCTTAAAGATTGTGAAACTAATATCCAGTAAGCCGTGATGGCTAGGCTGGAGTCTGTAGAAGGATCTTGTCTGATTTGATCTGTGGAGCTTTGCATCTTGTTCTTTTACTTACTGGTGTTTGCAGATTTGTTTGATTGGAGTTCTGCTTATTTGGTGTCCATTACATCTGTTGTCCACTAACGTTTTGGTTAAGAGATCTAAGGCGCTGGTATTATATTTGTTTATGATTGTCTTCGTAATGTTGATGGTTTCTGCTCGATTGCATGGATCTTTCATTTGCTATGCATAATTCGATTTCCGATCTTGTCGTATTAAGCTCTTTACTATCTGCAGAAATGAGAGTGCATTGCCGTATTTGGAGGTATATTTCTTTGGTGGGTGATGGCTTGACTGGTATATAGTAACAGTACTAGATATTACTTCTGGGAATAAAAGTTTACATGCCTCTGCTTTATGGTTGTGTATGTATAATACGACTACCGTGTAATGTTGCCGTTTCGCAGACTTGTTAGCTTTTAAAGTTTGTTGATTATGCCGCGAAAAGTAATTTTCTCTCGTTTGATGTGGCAGATATGATATTAAGTTGAACAATGCCATTCTTGCAGAGGAGAAGCACTTGCCCATGTAAGGAAACTCTGAGTTTGAACACTTACTTTTTATGAGGAATGATCCCATTACTTGTATTTTGATAGTTGTGTTTACATGGTGGCAATGATGAACGTGGACAGGTATGATGAGATGTCGGCCAACCCCAATGTAGAGTACATTGCTGGAGGTAATTCTGCACTATTTTGATTAGCTGTTCAAATTGCACTTTAATTCCTGATTGACATGAAGACCCAACTGATTTGATATATGTATCACAGGTATATATCATACAAGTGAATGGGTTAGCAGAAATTGATGGGGCAATTGGTCTTCTGAATTTAGATCTTCAAGCTAAATCAACTGCTGTTAATGGTATAATAGCCAAACTCTTTGCATTTCTTAACATATGTTTTCAAGCTAGCTGAAGTTCATAATTTATCTGAAAAGGTTGTGCTGTACTGAAATGCTTTGTTTTTTTATGGATACATTGCTTTAGTTCCTGGGAATTTGACATTTTTCTTAAATTAGACAGAGGAAAAGAAGCAGGATCAACGAGAAAATGAAGGCATTACAGAATTTGATACCTAACTCAAACAAGGTACGCTCGAATCAGTTCCTGTTTCAATTACGTGTTCTCATATGCTTGTTTCCATAGGGCTACTTTCTTTGATTTTTCAGTTAATGAAAACCTATCACCTGTTTTTTAATAGTGCTCTTTCTTATGTCTGAATCAGACTGATAAGGCTTCGATGCTTGATGTGGCCATTGATTACCTCAAGCAGCTTCAGCTCCATGTTCAAGTGAGTTGTGTTCTGTTTTGATTTTGTATTGTGCTTCTCTTAGCTTTGGTTTCATTCATCATGTATGTAACTGGGGCAGAGGGAGTATATTTGTTTTGTTTTGTTTTGTTTTTTTTTTTTGTTTTTTGTCTTTACTTTTGCTTATCATCGAAGGCCATGAGCTTGATCTGTTTAGGTGTCTTTAGGAAATATTTATGTGCAATTCGATTCTTCTCACTGCTTTCTTGTTTTACCTTGTTCTTCTGCATAGTTTTGTTAAATTGTTAATTGCCATTTCTAATTTTGAAGTTATGCTGCAAGCTTGAAACTGGACAAATTTCTTTGTTTTTTACTTCTCTAACTCATCCTGATATGCATGCGCTATTTTGTTACTCCAACTCCAAGTATTGTGGTTGTGAGGCCATACCATTTCTTAAGAAGCTACTCTCATTTCAATCCAAAGAACAAGAGATGATGCGGTCAAAGAAAGAAAGAGCCCTACTTGAAGAAGAGATGAGGAGTCTAGGAACCAAGCTTGAAAAGTTGAAGAGTGTTATTCAAAATATTGATGAAGAAATCAATTTTCTACTGGTGCAGAATGGAAGGCATGAGCTCTCATTTAAGGAAATGGCAACTGCACCTTGGTAGAGTTATTCAACCAAAATCTTCTCTTGATCATGGATACTATAAGGCTGAGTATAGAATAACAAAAATGTCGATCTATCATCGAACAGGGCTGTCTTTTTCTGCGGGCCAATGCTTGACTCCAGGGTAAGAATATGATCGCAGAAGCAATGCACCCGAATTTGTAGTCTCCTTTCTTATCATCTGTCAGTTCTGGATTCCGAATGTGGTTCCTGCCTGCATTTTCTTCTCGTGCTTGCCTCAGTTTGATGGTTCTTAAATAGGCAAGTATGTATGGCCCCTGTGATGGAATGGACATCCAGGCTAGCATTGTTTCTTTTTTCGAGAAAAATGTGTGACCTCTCCGACGGAGTTAAGCTTCTGCTGGGTGCTTGACTTTTGGGTAAGCCAAACCCAAAAGTGTGGAACAAAAAATGTGTAGGGTTTTTTTTTGTGAACAAATATAATGTTTTCGCGCTTTGAACACGCAAAACAAGAAAATTGGATTAACAATTTGCGTTTCTGAAACGCGAATCATTTTAATCATCTTTCCAAAATTCGGTTGAGAGAAGAAATTGAATAAAAAAAGGGTAATCATTTTTCGCGTTTTGGAAACGCGAAAAATTGGATTAACAATTCGCGTTTCTGAAACGCGAATCATTTTAATCATCTTTCCAAAAATTCGGTTGAGAGAAGAAATTGAATAAAAAAAGGGTAATCATCTTTCGTGTTTTGGAAACGCGAAAAATGGGTATAGCGTTTCAGAAACGCGAAAAATTATTTAAAATAAATTGCGGTTTGATAAGAATTTAGCGTTTTCAAAATGCGAAAAATTTCTTCTAGCGTTTTGAAATCGCGAAATATCCAGAAAATCTCCTCATCCACTCATTCGGCTCCACGTGTATTTTGATGATAAGTCTTTGAGTGGATTTGCGTTTTGTAAACGCGAAATTTAAGATTTATATACTAAACTAAGCAAAATAACAGTATTTTTTCGTTCATTCTGTTCAGGTCTGATTTTAAGATTCTGTGAAAGCTCTCATTTCCTTCAATTTGAGAAATTACTCCGAAGTTAAAGAAGATTGATTTGAGTCCTGAATCCGTAAAAGCTCTCATTTCCTTCAACATTCAGGTAAGTTAATTTCGTTATAGAAAATATGTATTTTTTTATGCCTTATTGTGAGCATAGGATGATTTACGTATTATTATTAGTTAATAAATAATTGTGATTTAGTCAATTAACGGTGATTTTTTAATTAGGCTGATAAAGTGAATTGAAAGAAATATTAGTTAATAGAATATTAAATTAGATTAGCGTTTTGTAAATTATTGTATATCGATTTATGTAAAATAAAATAAAATTATAATAATGATATTGAATTTTTGAATATTTTTAGCATAAGAATAAATTATGTAATTCGGGCATAAGGTTTAGATTTTATATTAATTTTTAGCATAAAAATGAATTTGTAAATTCAGGCGTATAGTTGTTCTTTTGAAATTATTAAATCTGTAAACGGGGTAAATACTGTTTCCGCAGAACTAAAAATCAAAATGTATGCTAGTGTTCTGATTTCGTAGGAATTGATTTTGCAGGCCGCAAATGTCTTTCACGGAGACAGTTAAATGCGAAATTATCTTGGAATACTACTTATACAATGAACCTGATGGGACTATCACGGTACAGCGGGATGCGCCGGACGGTTATCTTATCTTTGATCGTATGTTAGATTTCTCGGAACTTGTTGATAAGGTATGTGGTGTGATGGAAGTTGATAGAGAAGGACTGTATATTGATTTTTCTTTGGTATGGACGGAGAGGTCAGGAAAAGGTCTCGTGTGCACATTAATGATGATAATATTGTTCGGTTCATTTATCTTTGTGCTGATAAATGGCCAGAATTGTACCCTGAAAATGTTGAGAGAACATGCCATGTTTATGCAAGTTCATCTGGCCAGGATATTGGTGCCAGCACTAGTGGTGGTAGAACAGTTGAAGACAATGAAGATGGAGATGAAGATGGAGATGAAGATGAAGATAAAGATGAAGATGCAGATGAAGATGAAGATGAAGATGGCGGGGGTGTCGAAAGCAGTGATGATGAGTACGTCCCATTGGATGAGGACTCAAATGACGACACTGATTTTGAGTCATCTTCTTCAGTCCCATATGTTTTCGACGACATAAGTGGATGGGACAAGACTTTAGAGGAAGTAGATTGTGATGGGGTTAAAATGTGGGATGGCAATCCGTTGACGCTAGGCCTTGATATACATTTCGCCAACAAGCCTGAGGCACAAGCGGCAGTGGGAGAATGGAACTTGGTACATGGTCGGACTTTCCGGGTGAAAACGAGCTCTAAACGAACATGGTATATCGAATGCGAGACGTGTGGACCCAAATATCCGAAAGAGCATCTTCACGGCTATGATTGTCTGTGGAAGGCGCGAGTTTTGCTACAGAAGGCCACCGATACTTGGAAAATGGTGGTATGGTCTGATTCCCACAACTGTCTTGGGGCAAACAAGAGAAACGAGTCCTGAAACGTCACGTCTTCTATGATTGCTAGACTGGTTGCCCAAAATGTTCGAAAACATCCAGATTTTGTAGTTGCCCAAATTCAAATAGAAGTTTTGAAGAGGTACCAAGTCGAATGTAGCTACAAGAAGGCATGGCATGGTAGAAGAAAAGCACTTGAGGCTCTGTATGGTACATGGGAAAGTAATTTTCAACAACTGCCCAGCTTCCTGGATGCATTGTTCATGTTAAACCCGGACACTTGTGTGCAATTCAAGTTTAAGGAAAATTCAGGAAGCTCGCAAAGGTTTGTATGTAGGTATGTTTTCTGGGCATTTGGGCCATCTATACAGTTATTTCATGCTTGCCGCGTAATAACCATCGATGCCACTCACCTGGGAGGATCCTACAAAGGAAAACTAATTGTGGCATGCGTAAAGTGCGCAAATGGCACGATTGTTCCCATCGCATTTGCTCTTGTGGACGAAGAGACTATACACAGCTGGAAATGGTTTTTGAAGTATTTGAGAAAGTTTGTTTTACAAGATAGGAAGACCTGTATTATCTCTGATCGAAATCAGGGTATCCTTACTGCCATGGACATCATGTTGCAAAAATTCCCAGAGATGGGAGTCCACCGGTATTGTCTAGAGCATGTTAAAGCAAACTTGGTTGGGCATTTTTGAAAGGAGAAACTGGGTAGCAACTGTCAAATGATTGGTTCAGCGACGCAAAAGACAAGGTTTTTGGCAGAGTGGCAAAAATTAGAAGAAAAAAATGAGCCTGTTGCTCGTTGGCTTCAGAAGCTGGGTGTTGAGAAATGGACCTGTTTACACGATGGAGGGCATCGTTGGGGAGAAATGACCACTAACATCTCAGAGAGTTTCAATAATGCGCTGAAAGGTGCTAGATTCTTCCCGATCACAGCATTGATCCGAGTATCCTTTCAGAAAAGCAACAATCTGTTTCAGGCAAACATTGATATGATCCAAAAATGTCAGACTGTTCTACCTCCTAAGCCAATGAAACTGTATGAAGAGGCCCGGAAGAAATCATTGAGGCAAAAGGTCAACCGGTTTAGTAAGAGAAACCAGAAGTACGAAGTGGTTACAATAGCACCCGATAATCAACCATGGAAGGCTGAGGAGAAGCAAGTTGTGCTGTATGCAAATCGAGAGTGCACTTGCGGAAGGTGGCAGACTTTCAGATTTCCTTGTTCCCATGCACTTCGAGTTGCCCGTGAGCTAGGTGACGATCCCTTCCCACTTTTTGATCCGTGTTACACTACGCATCAATGGTACCAGCAGTTTTCTGGAGAATTCAACCTAATCATGGAACTACGGCCAAAGGCAAAGTGGCAGATCAGGCCAGATGACACTAAACTTGTCCACCATGCTGGCCGAGGTCGGAAGCGTGTGAATCGGAAAAAAGGTGTGATGGATTATACAAGCAAATCTGGCCAGCGAAGACTCCAAACTTGCAGTTTATGTAAGCTACAAGGCCATAATGCCAGGGCTTGCCCATATGCGAGAGTTTGCGCATGATGTGGAAGTTTAGATCATGATGCTGTGGAATGCCCTTTTTCTCATCCACCTGCTGACAGGACCGCTATTGATTACGATCCATATGGAATTCGTGGTGTGCCTAATATCAATTCTGATGATGATGATGATGCGTAGTAATGATTTTCCACATCGTCTGTTGTGATGATTCTGTTAGTGTTCGTATTTTTGTGTTGTTTTGAACATTCATGTAGTAAACCTCAGAGGATGAATCAGTTTGCGTTTGTATTTGTGTTAGTGTGTTGGTTTGGATGTTTCTGTAATTTATATTAGTAATATTTTTGAAAAAAAAAACGTCGCTGTTCATTTTAGTAATATTACTAATTATTACTATAGTGGTAGAGTGATATGATATATACATGTCGAATAAAGCACTAATTATTTAATAAACACTAAAGGGTAAGAAAATTAGTTATTTGTTTATTCATCACCGCAATAAACAGAACCATATATCCGGCCTAAAAATCAGACGTTTTTTTTTTTAGTTATACCCCAATAATTGCGTTTCTGAAACGCGAAAAAAGACAAGGTGAACATTGTTTTCGCGTTTCTGAAACGCGAAAATAGGAAGAGCATTATTTTCGCGTTTCTGAAACGCGATTTTTGGGGTATAGGTAGTTTCGCGCTTTTGAAACGCGAAAATAGGTGGTTAAATAAATTTTTCGCGTTTCGGGTTGATGTTTCTCAAACAGAACCATATATCCGGCGTACTCCATTGAAACCGGCGTTTTTTCCGGGAGAGTTGCCGGAATCGAGTTTCGGCATCAATTTTTTGCATTTTGTAGGCTATATATCGAGGTAAGTTGTGTTTTTTGCTGAAATTGAATCGTTTTTTTTTAATTCATGTTTTAATTTTTGATTCATAAATTTTGTGTTCGTTTTATTTGTAATTTTATTTCGCGATTTAATACTCCGTTAATAGATCTAGTATTATAGGTGTTGTAATTGTGGAATTTTAAAAAAAATTCGGGATTGGGTTGGGTGAAAAAAATTCGGGATTCAATGATATTGTTGGAATGGTGTTGCCGGCAGGGTGGGGGCGGCGGAGGAATGCAGGGGGTATAGAGGAGGGGGGCGGCGGGGGGAATGAAGGGGAGGGGGCGGCGGGGGAAGGGGGCGGCGGGCGGGTGGGATGAAGGGGAGGGGGCGGCGGGGGGAAGGAAGGGGAGGGGGCGGCGGGCGGGGGGAATGAAGGGGAGGGGGCGGCGGGGGGAATGCAGGGGGTGTAGGGGAGGGGGTAGGTTTAGGGTTGGGCTTAGGGTATGTTGGGGTGTTGGGCTTAGGGGGTTTAGGGTTTGGGGGATTGGGTTGGGTTTAGAATGTGGGTTTTGGGTTGGGGATTGGGTTGGGTTTAGAGGGTGGGTTTTTGGTTGAGAATTGGGTTGGGTTTAGAGGGTGGGTTTTGGGTTGGGGATTGGGTTGGGTTTAGAGGAGTGGGTTTAGGATAATAAAATTTAGGGTTGAAATTTTTAATGTATAGGATAATTAGATTAGAATAATAATATTAATCCGTATTTACTAAAATGTAGGGTTGAAATTTTTAATGTATAGGATAATAAAAAAGAATAATAATATTAATCCGTATTTACTAAAATGTAGGGTTGGATTTTTTAATGTATAGGATAATAAAAAAGAATAATAATATTAATCTGTATTTACTAAAATGTAAGGTTGGAATTTTTAATGTATAAGATAATAAAAAAGAATAATAATATTAATCCGTATTTACTAAAATGTAAGGTTAGAATTTTTAATGTATAAGATAATAAAAAAGAATAATAATATTAATTCGTATTTACTAAAATGTAGGGTTGGATTTTTTAATGTATAGGATAATGAAAAAGGATAATTAATATTAATCTGTACTTACTAAAATTATTTGTAAATTGTACTAGCCATGGACATTGGATCATATTCTTCCTCCCAATCTACCTCAAAGAAGCTACGGCAGGGACCCAGAGACAGTAGTTTGTTGTTTCTCCAAAACGCCCATAGGTCACACAATATATTCCATGGTGCACAGTATGATATAGGGATTTCGGAGCCCAGGCGCGTAGATAGCACCGCGTGGAAATTAATAAAAGATGCACCGAGGTTGACAAAGGAATATATTGAGAAATTTGGTTTTGGACCGTTCTCTAGAGTTGGGTCCATAAAGATGTGACCATGCCCTGCTTACAGCTCTTGTGGAGCGATGGCGCCCAGAGACCCATACATTTCATTTACCTTTTGGGGAGGCTACTATCACACTCCAGGACGTCGAGGTTCTTTTGGGTCTTCGGGTTGATGGACGTCCGATTCTGAGGACATCACACCATGCCTGATGGTGGTTGGGTAGCCTATTTGGAGAGGATGTTTGGATTTAGGTTCCAGACAGAGGAGTCTAGATTGACGAGCGTTTCCATCACTGAAATAAAGACTCACATAGAGAATAATCCTTTGACGGACCTGTCCCCTGACGATGCACACCTACAGCGAGCCCGTTGTTTTGTTGGATGGCTCGTTGGCGGATTACTGTTCTCAAACACTACGAGAAACAGTTTTCCTCTCGATCTTGTGCATTTTCTTCATACTCCCGAGATTTGCTCGGAGTACAGTTGGGGTAGTGCGGCACTATGTTACTTGTATCGCAGCATGTCCAAGTCATCTCTGGCCGCTTCTGCCAAGGCTATTACCGGCTGTGTGATTCTTCTTCAGGTATTTTATCTTTTCATTTCTCTCTAGTTTCATTTTATATTCTCCCATTATTATCGGTGATTTTAGCTAATGATTTCTTCATTCTGAATTAGCTCTGGGCCTGGGAGCGGATTTTGACGGTTCAGCCAAGATACTGGGTGGGGATCTCGATCTATCTCATTGTCCATTGGGCACGAGGTAATCTTATACATCAAACCTTCGTAAATTTTGACATTTTGATTTGTACTGTCATGTCTCAATTTAATGTTACTTTCTCCGTGCAGGTGGTCCCGTGAGAAAAAAGTTCAAGTATCACGCGGTTCAATTTGGCCGCGTACCGGGATCAGCTTGCAGTTCTCGCAGAGTCTGATGTTAGTATTCTATTCAATTAGTATAACTTATGTTTTATTCGTTTTTTTTAACGGTGCTGGACTTTTAATTACGCGTCTCTTACTTAATTACCATTGCAATTTGTATGGATGCCGTACACGACTCTTCTGGGTCGTATTGCCAGGGTTTGTCTTGTGGGACAGGGCATATGGCGATCTCAGACATGGCTCATCTGCGGTGATGTCGTTGCGCTACACAACCTCAGTAGGGTATTTCGCCAATTTGGTTATCACCAGCGGATACCCGGCGACGCATTAGTTCTCACTGCGGCAGAAATTACTAGCCTGCTCAAGAGAAGCCGTTTGGAGGATCCGATAGGAGATGGTTACAACAACTAGGGATATATATCCAGATTTAGAATGATCGCCACGGCCGACTTGTGGGGACTGATGATGATTATGTTTGCGAGCCTTCCGCAGATCCGGAGTATCTCTTGTGGTACCATCAGGTTACTGTGAAGTATGTTACGGATCCGACGGACTCTGAAAATGCGAGGGGTTTTCACGGCTCTGCAGAGACCTTGCGCCTCATGGTGAGTATTTCGCCTACAGTCCATTTGGTTCTTTTTATTAACACTGTTGTCGATTTATGATTCTTTCTAATAAAAATTTTAGGCCACATTGATGGAGGACATTCGTAGTCTGAGTATTATAGGCTAGCATACTTTCGACGCGGACTCCTTTGGTTATGATCGCTTAGGCGAGATTGCCCAGGTTGCTGAGCGGGCGTTGTCCGTCAATGCAACAAATGTTGTACGTCACGATCTCGATAGGCATGTTGAGGTTAATGACATTTTGAGTCAAGAACTTGCACCTATAGACCCGACCTAGCAACATCCACCACCCAGACCTCCGAGGCGTTCGCGCAGGTCTTAGCGTGGGCGTGTGGGGCAAGAGACAATCACATCATCTTAGCCACATCAGTCCTCCCAGCATGAGCAGTCTCATATTCCCTTCACTGGCGGTTCATCCCATCAGTCTCCACATCAGTCTCCACTCCATTCTCGACAGCATTCAGCCCATCAGTCTCCACATCATTCTTCGCCGACCCAACAGGCGTTTTACCGTCCGATTATGTCTCCCCAGCACCAGCAGTCCAATTTTGCCTTCACTCAGTTTTCCTCCCCTCAGACTTCTCAGCGTCAGTTTGGAGATTCTTTTATTGACTTTTCTGGGTTTCAGCAGAGTTCGCTAGATGGCCAGTCGATACATTACACAAATGTAACTTTCTTTCGAGTATGTTCGAGGGTGTTGCGGGTCAGCATCAGGCTGATGACCCAGCTGAGGGTGAGCGTGAGAGTCAGGGTGAAGATGAGGCTGAGGATGAGGCTGAGGATGCAGACCAGGATGATCAGTTTGAGGGTCAGGGTTATCAGCGCCATGAGGAGCAGGGATCGAGTCAGACTCTAGGGACTCCACCGTTGGCTGTGAGTAAAGGCCAGAGAGTGACGAAAGAGCCCGATAGATTGACTTATAGCCTTTTTTGGGCTAAAAAGTCCAAGAAGAAGTAGGGTACTAGACTTCTTATGTAGTATTATTAGCCTTGTATTTTTTTTTCCCTTTTGTTCATTTCTGTTTTTTTTCCTTTTGTTATGACTTGTTTTATTTTTTTTACCTTTTGTTATGACTTGTAGTATTTTGTTATGACTTGTATTAATATTTTTAATAGTTTGATTTCACTTGCATCGTAAATACAATAATTAATATTTATAAAACACATCTTCGCCGATCAAATCGAAACACATATTTAAACTTTCTTATATTTTTTTTCATAATTAATAGTTGCTTCATCTTAAGGGTTGGTAAATTATAATAAATATTTAATAAAATTTATTCCTATTTTAAGCTTTTTTCTTATATTAAAACCATCATAATTAATAAAAATAATTTGTAAATTAAATTACATCTCATTAAATCCATAAAATTACGTCATTATCATTATTGAAAATTTTTCATATAAAATTATTTTTTAAAATAATGATTACATTTTTAATAAAAATTTTTAATATAATCATTATTAAATTTTTTTATATAATGTTCTAAAAAATTAATACATTATAATAACTATATCATACTTTTAATAATTTATATTTAGTATAGCTCTATTTAATTTAATGAGTATCAATTATAATATTATATTCTTATTCAAAATTTAATTTTCGTATTATTAAAATTATCAATGTAATTTTCCTCTTTATAGCTCTATTCAAAATTTAATGATTAACAATTATAATTTTAAAATTTTCTGTTACCATTATTCAAATTTAATATTTTTTTGAAGTCAATTTCCCTATAACGTTTTAAACTAGTCAAATTAATCATATTTTTATGCCTATTTTCTTTTTTATTTAAATAAAATATTTTTTTAATTGATTTCACGCTTTGAAAACGCGAACTCTTATTTATTCAAGTTAATTAATTAGGATTAAGTTAAATTAATTACGTCTTCTTATTTTTCGTGTTTCTGAAACGCGAAAAACATATATTAGCGTTTTCAAAATGTGAATTTTGATTTTTAGCGTTTTCAAAACGCGGATTTTGGTTTTTTCGCGTTTCTGAAGCGCGAGAAAGCTATTTTTGGCTACAATTTAAACCCTAAGCATATTTTGTTCTTCATTTTTTTTTTCAGCTATTAATAAGTAAATTTTCCAGCTTGTGCTTGTAGGATGTGCAAGCTAAAAAAATATGTTTACATGAATTTGAATAATTAATGAGCCAAAAATTTAACAGAAAGAAATAGGTAAACCACATATGTTAACTTTATTTTTTGACAAAAAGTGTTTTTGGAAAAGGTTTAATCCAAATGATTTTTTAATATTTTTAATTACAAAAAGCTTTTTGTTAAATTTTTGTCCAAATGGATTTTTTTTCCAAAAAGTCTTTTTGAAATTTTGCTCCAAAAAGACTTATTTGAAAAGGTTTTCAAAACACTTGTACAAATGGAGCCCTAGTCTTTGATGAAGGGAAATTCCTTACAAACCGGCTCCATAGGAGACTAGTCATCACTCTTTGGAACTGGTTGAATTTCCATCATTGGACAAGTGGTTTAATAAATCAACAGAAAAAATCAGACTTTGCAGTCGAGATTCAGCAACCTAGCACAAGTATTTTCGAAACAGAAAATCAAGAACCAGAAACTTCAGTATCAAATTGTGAACCCGAAATTCCAAATGAAGCAAGTGAAGGGAGTGAACTTGACTCTAGAAATGATGATCTTGGCAATGTCAATCCTGAAGCATTCTAGGAAGAAGCACAAATTCAACAAACAGAGGCGCATGATCGTGCAAGTACTCCAACTGATAATGTCGATAGTCGTCCACAATGAAACATGCTACCCCCATAGTATCTTGAGGATTATGAGTGTTATATATCTTATTCCACTCTGCCTATTGAACCTATGAGTCATCATCAGGCTTTAAAAGATCCAAACTGGATAGAAGCTATAGAAGAAGAATTAAAGGCATTTGCATTCAAACCAAACATGGTCACTGGTTCCACAACCAGAAAATACATATATGGTCAGCTCAAACTGGATATTTTGAGTCAAGCAATAAGAAGATGGTTCAGTTGAACGTCTCAAGGCACGCCTTGAAGCTCATGGATTTACTCAAGTATCAGGCTTGGACTATGAGGAAACCTATAGTCCTGTCATTCAACACACAATTACTCGTTTGGTTATTGACTTGGCAAATCATTGAACTGGTCAATGAGGCAACTAGACGTGGAAACGGTATACATGGAACAAGCTCCAAGATTTGTCGATCAACATAAACCAAACTATATTTGTCTACTTCATAAGTCCTTCTACAGACTGAAACAAGCTCCACGAGCCTGGTTTGATCAACTATCTAAATTTCTACTTCATCTTGGTTTTTATTGCAGCAAACCTGATTCTTCATTGTTTATTTATTGTCAAACATCGGATATTACATTACTTCTTGTGTATGTCTATAATATTTTAGTTGCAGGAAATAACGATCTTTTTATCTTCAGTTAATTCGGAATTTAAGTTCAGAAGTTACAATTAAAGATCTTGGTGCTTTAAGTTTCTTTTTAGGTATTGAAATCAAACGCATCAAAGGAGGAGTGGTGATTTCTCAAAGCAAATATATCAAAGATCTTCTCCATCGTACCAGAGTGACATGCAGCACTCCAAATATAGCTCCGATGGCACTTTCCTTGACATTGCTAATCTCTCGACTCAATTAATTTATCTTCCTTCTCTCTGCAACGATCTTTTCACCTCATCACTCATTTTTGTACAGTTTTCCTTTTATACCACGTCCGGTGGAGGATCAGACAATTTTGAGATTTTGCATGACCATCGGCATAGTTTTTCTCTATTGTCTTTGGAGATTAATTTTGGGTGGCTTTCGTTTGGCCAGAATGAAGGGTGTGAAGATCAGTAAAAGGTAAATTTTCTCGCTTTATTGTGATGAATTCTCATAGAAAAGTGTACTGAAGTGAAATATTAAAGTTGATTATTGATGCCGGGGGGTACTATTCGAACTTTGATTTTTTCTGCTTTGTCTAGATTAATATGGGATTGAACAATTAGTTCTATTGGTATAAAGTATTATTTTCGGTAATAATTTAACGTCCATGCAGATTTGATTTTAGAGGTTGTTAAATTTTTAAGAATGTTACGGCCAAGAGTAGCTCTGGTTATTTGTTGGTCTTGTGGAGAAAATTCCAACCTTCCACTTTGGTCCAATGTGAATCACCAATCTTCATCAAATTAGAATGAAGGTGTGTTATTTGTTTCTGTTGATGAGACCGGGTTGGGTACTTATGTACAGTCACTTTGGAGATATTATTATCTAGATTTGATGTCAATTCTTCATCTTTTCAACTCTCTCAACAAAGATTCCTTAATTTTAACTTTTTTTCATAGGTTGACATTAAGAACTTCGGGACAGATGGATTGGGTTGAAGTTGATAGTTTTATTGGAACAGATTGGGGAGCTTGTGAATACCCTTAGGCTTCGCTCCGTTGGATTGAATTGGAATTGAATTAGAGTTACAATCCAATAGAATTGAAAATGTGATATTGACATTGTAATTCAATCTCAATTCTTTTATTTGGAAAATGTTAAGAATTGACTAAAATTAAGGTTCTAATACCAATTCTTGAGTTTGGATGCCTAAGAATTATATATTAGAATTACTTTGTTGTTTTCTAACTAATAAGTACAATTTTTACTTCTTCTCTTTTTTAAAAAATGTAATTTTAAATTTAAATTGTTATATCAATTTTGGAAGTTATTATATAAATGGATTTTTTTTTTAAAAAAAATGTAAGGATTATTACTATGATACTTGAAAATTTTACTCAAAACATAACAAGTAAATCCATATAGATTGACATTAATTTGCATATGCTAATTTATATTTTCTCTTCTTAGTATTAAAAATATATTTTAAAAAAATTAATAAAATTTAACATAAATATTAGTTAAAAATGATGTGTATAGTTCAAAATTAATACATATAACATTTGGAATAATTTATTAAGAAATGTTTCAGAAAATTATGTCATTTACTGTACCATAATATAATAAAAAAAATTTAATCCAAAACTAATGGAACTACTTCATAATTTTGTTCAATAAATCCCAGATATGGTTATATATTGATATTTTGTCCAAAAAATGATACTATTTTACTAAATCTATCTGTATAATAATTATTAAATTGAGATATATAATGTTTTTCAATTGCAATAAATAAAAACATATGTTATTTAGACCCCAAAAAAATGCAAAAAAGGAAAACAAAAAAACCAGGGCCCGTGAGATGCCTGCTGGAGGAATAAAAGAAATTCAAAAAATAAAAAGGAGGAAGAAACATGGTTGTGCCCTTTGGAGGCCGAGAAAGAACATGATAATAGGTGCGGACTTGTGGCAATGCCTAAAAGAGAAAATTGACCCGTTTAGTTATAACCCCAAAACGACCCAAGTTATGATCCGCATGTGTATTTTTTTTGTTTGAGCCACACGATATTGAAATTACAATTATTTTCTCTCACAAAATAATTGAAAACATGAAATTGAGCCCCATCTTGAATTTTAATTACAATTCCGGAGCCTCTACTTTTATCGGCCAAATATGAGAAATAGAATTTGAGGCCTCCAATTCCAATTCTTCAGTCCAATTCTAGACAACCAAACAAAGCCTTAGTATGTGGAAAATATGGTTTTTGTTCCAAAGGGCATTGTGGTTGTCATGAAACCACAAATGAGCGAGGAAATTTTTTCAGAGAAATGAATTTTTGGAAACTGAATCTCAGATGTTCATTGGCCACCCCAATTTCTTGTGATCATTAACAATGACATAATGTTCTTGTGCTCAGCAACGTGCATTACTTTGCTTTCAATTTAGATGAACAGAAAACATCAGTGGGGGACTGCATAAATCTTTGCCTAAGAGCTGCTCATGCATATCCTTTTATGGCCATTCTAATCAGAGGTGTCTAAATCATTTTGAATGAAAAAGAAAAATAGAGAATTTATTTCATTATTTTAGTGTTTTTGGAGACTTATATGATTATGCAATTCAAATAATACAAAGGTTTGAATTTTTCTATGCATCTCTCTCCCCCTCTCTCTCCTTTTCCCCTATTGATCAGTCTCCTAAAGAGTTAGTAATACCGGAGTTCATATATTAGTTGCACACATTGTGCTAAAGTTTTCCATTCTGAAATGTATATGCCTCACGTTTAAGCTGGACAAGCTTGTTATGTGCAACAATATGTGTAAAGTGTTCTTATAATTTACGAAAAGCACAATCATGTGCCGGTTCTCAAAAAAAAAAAAGGAAAAAAAAGAAAAGAATAAAACAAACAATTTGCTGCTTTGAAGTAGAGAGTGCCTATAGGGTATAACTAACGAGATGCACTCCCATAGTTAAAAGCAATTTAGCAGCTTAGCTAGTGTAACAAGAAGCTTAAAAATTTCAGTTACTTCAAAATACCAAAATGTAAAAGAACAACCCATTTGTTTTCGCTAGTAGAATAACAAGAACTTAAAGGTGGTGTTTGGACAATGTTTTGTTTTAGTTTTTGATTTGAAATTGGGGGGAAATTTAAAATGTAGTTGAATTTTTGATTTGAAAAGTATTTTTAATGTAGTTTATATGATTACAATGGATTTTGTGCTAAAGTTTCTCATGCGGCACTAATTTCTTTTTCCATTGGTAATTATCATGGGTGAATGGTTTTTAGTTGCACCAATAGAGGACACACACTTATTGTTGGGTCGAACATGGGAGCATGATCAATCTCGGTGGCGAATTCCATATGATGATAAATTTGTTTTTTTTTTCCATCTACTCATCATGGTGTTTATATTTTTGATGAGATGTTGCCGCAAGATGTCCTTGAAATACAAGGGAGATTAAAAAAATTATGGTTATGATGCAAATCCTCAAGAGGGAAAGGTGATAGAAGAAGAGGTCAAGATCTAAGAAATCCAAATTGAACCTAAAGAGGGAGTGATCGAGTGTTTCTGTGATAATCTCTCTATTATCAGTTATCCTTCATGGCAGGAAATTCAACATGATGTTTCTCTTGAGTATTCTCATTTTGATATTATTGAACACATTGACTTTGTGTTTAATGAAGATGTTACTCATGAGAAAAGTTCCATTAAACAACTTGGAGTATTTTTGGTTCACGATCATGTATTTCCACGAGTTGGGATCGTGAGGTTCTTATTCCATAAGCACATCATGGTATTCCAAGAAGTTCATAGTTTGGATTTTGGTCTACTGTTTGATTGCATGCTTAAGATTGATGGATGAATCTTTTCAAAGAAAGAGGGAATGATAGCATCAAAGATGGCAAAAATAATGAGAATTTCAAGTGAGTTTTCATTATTTTCTTCTTGTGCAATTATGGTACAGATTCGAGGATGAATCTTTTTAAAGAAGGAGGGAATGATAGCATCAAGAGTGAGAATCATGATAAGAAGTTCAATCTAGGAAGATCTCTACAAGGGCCGAAAATCCCAAGGGCAAAATTGTCTTTTTACTAAAAGGGCATAATTGTCATTTTACTCTATTTCGAGTTTTGCTTTTTTTTTTTTTCAATAAGAAGTCTTCAATTTGATGTCTAATACATCATTGGATGGATATGCAGCAAGATGAATGGTTATTATCACTCTACAAAGAAGAAAATGATAGAGTTTATATTCAAGGGAGATTCTATCTTATCACATAAAGGAATCTTTTTGGAGATTATGTCTTTGTATTAGGAGCTTTATATTTTATTCCTTATTGGCTCATTGTATTTGAGTTCAAGATAGAAAGGTGGATTAGATAAGATTTGATTCTTAGTAGATAAGACTCTTAGTTGTCAATTCCTATCTTATCTCCTTAGAATAAGGGATTAGGATGATTGGGATATTCTTTTCTATTATTTTAGGAGTCTAAATTCGTTCTCACTCTTCTCCAATAAATAGAAACCGAATTCTTCATTGTAAAGAAGTTTATTTTTCATTAAAATTAGCGTTGGGTTGTTACCTTACTTGACGGATCATTACAAAATTCTGTTTTGTGTTTCCTAAGGGACTTATCAATTGAAAAGTGCTTCTTTCAATTGTGACGTTCATAGCTATCGTTGTTCTTTCACTATAGATTATTGGTCTTGATTCTTTCATAGTCAAGGTTCTTGATTATATGCCCGTATGTTCTCTAAGAAGTGTCTGCTCTTACTATTATTAGACACGAACAACTCTTTTAACTTTGGAGGTGATTCCTTCAGTAAGGGAAGATCGACGTTTCCTTTTCTGCAACATACTAAAAATTTGGGAACTTCTGGTCTCCTTCTTTTTTCTGTCCTCTCGACATACCACATATTAGCCCAGTAGAATTGACATATATATTGTGGATCTCCCAAATCATCATAATCTACATGCATATGATTTTGTTTAATAACTTTTGTGTAATGTACGACATATTTTTACACTTTCATATTTTAAAAACAGTACCTGTGTTTATTGGGTTAACTTCAATTTGCCTGACTCTTTATTTACCTGGACGCAACACATTTTTTTGCAGTTTTAAGCCACTTTGTTGCTGTGTGTGTTTCATACCTGAAGGTATCACCTCCAATCCTGCAGCATAATGAGACGACAATATACAATATTGGCAAATGCATAGGTATGAAAAAGTCTCAATGGTTTCGGTTTGTTTTTTACTTCTTTTTTCCGTGACCTTTTAATAGTACAGCCAATACATTTTGAATTCTTTTAATACGTCATTAGTATTAACTAAGCATATGTGTTGATAGTTGCAAGTGTTTGCAAGTATTTATGTATGTAATTACTAATTTAAAAATACGACGACTATATGAACAATATTGGTCCCTATTGTTGAATGGGCATGACTTCTGGAAATTGCATTAACTGGATGATTTACTAAAAAACCACCCATATTGAGGATTGGGGTTGATGGAGCAATCTTCCCTCTCTTTTCTTTTTTTTTTATTTTTTTATCTAAGATTTCTATCCTTTTCAATCGAGAAGCCTTGAAACTTGCATTTCATTTGAAAGTTGAATATGTAACTATGATTAAGGGGTGATGTCAAAATTGTACAGGGATATTACTAATAGAACAAAATGCATAAAGAAGAAATTAAAGTATATAATGAATTTTTTTTTACAAATATAACATATCTCTTGAAACATCAAAAGGAATTGAAAGTGCCTATAGAATGAAATTTGCATGAAGATAATACATTCATTGTAGTTTGTAGGGATTCCCCAATGTTTCTCCGCAATAACCTTGCCTCTTTTCTTGTAGAGAATTTGTTGTCTGTTCCACCTACCCTCCTTAGGAGTCATATTCTGCATATTATTTTGTACAAAATGACCAGCCATAGAAACTCTGGCAAGTCTTGAAGTCATCCTTCTTCTTTTCTCCATTAATTTTTGCTTTCGCTTCATTCTGGTTGCCTTAGCTTTCAACTTATCCATTGTTGAATTCATTTCAATATGAAAATGTTTTACTCAGAACACATTATTTGAAGAGATGGTTATGGTAGTTATTTCATATTGTAAAGATTGATATGTTTAGAGAATTTTATGCAAATAAATATCCAAAATATTCTCTGAAATGATTTTAAGAGATAAGATACTATATTGCGATCAGGGATTTGTGATTTGATCATTATCATGTAATATAAGAAAATCATTGCTTTATATATCTTATATTATAACTGTATTGATGGGAATCTTTTAATTTTCATAAGGTACTTATAACTAAATTATGTCTTTTTTTTTCAAAAATATATATTGTTAATAGCATTAATAAATGTTTCTTAAAATTCTATTAACTTAAAATTACTTCAGACATTAATATGAGGGAAAAAGAAATATAAAAGCCATTTAGAACCATTGACTCAAAAAAATTTATAGAAAGTAAAAGGGATAGTATAATATTTTTCATGTTTATAGGGAGACCAATGCAGTTGCAGATCATTTGGCTAACTTGGTTTCTTTTCGACAGTCGGAGGTGTTTAGATTATATAGATCTTTACCCTCTCTTGCAAGAGGCTGGCTAGTTTAGATCAAAGATCCTTGCCTTATCTACGGATAAGGTAATAAGGTTTTGTTTGATTTTTGTAATAGCTATGATAAGGTTTTTCCTTAGATCCTATATGCAATTGCCATGGATTAGTTTGTGCACTGCTCTTGGTTTGCTGCCATTATATTAATATAATTAGGAAATGATGAAACTAAGAAACTGGATGGTATACATGTTCATCCCTTGGGTATACTCCTTGGGTATACTCCTTGGGTGCATTATACTATCTGGCACTGTCTGGTGCAAAACATACCTTTTGGGTATACCCCTTGAGTTTTTTTTTTTTTTTTTTTTGTACCAGTTAGAACCTGAACATTATCCTGACATCTCTATTCATTTAAAAAAGTATAGTGACCATTTATAAAATTAAAATAATTCAATGACCAAAATGAAAACTTTACAAGAGTGTAATGATCAAGCACAAGATTTTGCAATAGTTCAATGACCAAAGACAATAAAGACTTACAATAGTTCAGTGACCAAAATATAGATTTTACAATAGTGTAGTGACCAAACGTGACATTTTAAAGGGTAGATTAAAATATTGTTTGGATAGTGCATTGAATCTTGTGTTTAAGAGGTAAAATGAGACAAAAAGTAAAACAAGAGCTTGGACAAACAAGGGCAAAAGTTTCTACAGTTGTAGGGTACCACAGACTATTGGAGCAAAAACTAGAAGCATTCCATAACGTAAAATCCAACAACATTTGTGGAACACGAAAATTCAGTAACAAACAATCTTTACTTTCCTCTGGCTTTCTTTATTTTAAAGTAGCTGCAAGTTCATACCTGCAATGAAATGTAAAGTCTCAAAAATAGTTAAGTAGCTGGACATTTCTTTCCCTATAAAAATACAAGAATGATCAAATTAGTCAGATGATGATCATGACAAGCTAATGATGAAATCAAACAGAGGTTAACATAGCAACAATGAATACATGCTGAGATCAAATTTGAACACCATCGAAACTCATCGCATGGAGTAGGTGAAAAATTCAAATCAACATAATTCATTGGATCTCATCGCCCATTTGAGTTGAGAGTTGATCTTTATTCAAATTAATGGTGGCTATTTGACTTGACTAACTACCATGTTCTCCGCGTCTATGAGCTTTTCTCCCCAATCTTGCTTCAATAATTTCAAATTGAGATGGATCTCGAGTTGTCGAAGTCAATCTTTTTTCTTAGTTCCTTTAGATGGTCTTCCTCTATGTTGTTGTATATCTGGCTCGAAGTTTAATGAAGACTCTTCTTCAGTAACTAGTTCATAGAATGTTTCTTCAATACTTGTCTTCCCATTAAGAGGTAGGTGCATATATTTTCCTCCCAACCTATTAACCAATCCAAGGAAGATAGAATCACCATTATTAGTTTAACCACCAATAAAAGAGACTCTCTTGTGTCAATGCGCTATTGCGGATGTGTAGCTGTTAATGGTATTGATTTTCCTATCCAAAAACTCATCATGTGTGCACAAGGTAAACCCATAATGGTCATGAAACTGCCAATACATGTCATATTCATCTTTTGATTTCTTAACATTTGAAATTGTTGCTCTAACGTATCCAAGGAAAACAATGACAAACGGGACACAACTTGTCCGAAAAATGGAACATTGAACTTGTGAGGACCTTGAATCCTTTCATTTGATAACCTCACTTCAAATTTCTTAAGATCGTTTTAAAGAAGAAAGACACTTTCTGCTTGACACTAAACAAATACCCAGTTGAAAGGAATAAGTACCTTTTCAATTTTGAATGTGCACCTTTTGCTCTTAATGAAGAACGTGTTATAAAATGCAATTTTTTATCTGTCCATGCACTGACAAAATATTCTTTAAATGGAATATGTATCCTGAAGATAATTCAAAATATTTTCCTTTCCAATGTATACTAGTTGCATCTCATTCCGTGCTTGATTAAAAGCCTCATCTCCAGAAGAGTACACAACCCTATTCTATGCTACTAAAAAGTTTTCCCAATATTCTGTTTTCTCAAACTGAGGTTTACTCTTGGAAAGAAAACACATAACAAATTCAAAATAGTAAGAAAAACCTCCTGAATATCTTTCATCAAAGGTCATTCCCTATCAGTTGCAATAACAAAGGAACAAATTCCATCACCAAGCATTCTATCAAAAGCACGTAATACCTATTCATATTCTTCCTCACATTCTTCTCTTAAAAATGCAAAGCATGAATAGAATGACGTGTTAAATCTAGTCACACCAATAATCTCAAGTAATGGTAGTTTATAACGGTTGGTCTTATATGTGCAATCCACGACAAAAAGAATTAGATAACTTCTACTCAATACAATCAACTCGGGATTTGCAAAGAAAAGATGACTTAAACTACCTTTCTTCTCATGCTTATAGTCAAATAGATCGCCAGCCTCACTAAATTCTTCAAATATGACTTGAATGATAGTGTGCCCTTGAAGGTTTTCCTTCATGATTTTTCTTTTCTTATTGCAAACATCTTGATAAACAATCTGAGAATTAGTATTTTTTCTTCCTTTATAAATGAAATTATCTGCGAGGTGGAACTAAAGCTCTACTGAAGTTGTTTACATTCAAGGTCTCTTTTTCTGAGAAGAGTCGCTCGGATGAGTGTCCAGAGATACCTTTAGAAGTATCATGGTTATGTGAATCAATTTTGGTAAATATATTCCAAAAACCTAGAATTTGTATCTTACATGATATTTCAAAAGGACAATTGGTAAGGCGAATTGTTGTTTTCCTTTTTCTCTCTTCAATTGGGGTCTTTACTCTATTGATATATACTACTCCTCTATCACGTCAAAGAAGTTTTCAAAATTTTGAATCTCGTTTTCTTGCTAAAAAAAAAAAAAAAAAGAGATTCAAAATTTACAAGAGAATTAAAAATCTTATCATGAGCAAAATTTCAAAAAGTATACTGATGGATTCTCATACAATCAGCGAATTAGGGGAATACAACACCAAATCTTTTTTTTTTTTAGCAAGAAAAAGAGAAAAGCGACATTCAGTTTCCAATTATCTTAAAAATTACTTAAGGGGTATACCCAGAAGCTATTTTTTTAACTAGGCAGTGCCAGATGATAAGATGCACCCAAAAGATATACTCAAGGAATGGACATCAATACCACCTAGTTCCCTAAGATCGCTTCTCTCATACTCTATTAATAATAGCTATCAAAATCGTTTGGCAGAATATAGATCTAGCTAAAATACATCACTTAGGCTTGCTATTAATATAAGAGAAGGAAAATTGATCTAAAATCAACAAACCTTTTACATATCCAGTTAATGTTCCTTCTAATACAGTCTTCATCAAAGTCATTAGATTGGTAGCATCCGTAGAATCATACCCGTTACGGCGTCAATGGTCTGATCAAACAATTCGGTGAAACAAGTTTGGAGCGGCTGGAAGGAAGCTGAGTTGCGAGGGAACTGGCGCGGAGAAAGGAGTTAGGGCAAGCAAATCAAACTAAAGGGTAAAAAAAAAAACCATAATACGGAGTATAAGTAATTTTTCAATCACGTTTACAATCCAAATCAAACAGGGTTTCAAACTTTCTCAATGCTAAAAAACACATATACATCAGTCTATTTTATCTTCAGGAACTTGAAAAAATAAAGATCACTATTTCAGATTTTACTAATATTTCTAGTTATTATTATAGTTTAGAAAAATTATTAAGTTATATATTCTCGTGACCTATATAGATATATTAGGAAATTTTCTTGAAATACCATTGTATTTTATTATTTTAGCTTTGTTTTTTTTTTTAAAATTTTTTTTTGCACAATTTTCTAGTTGGGGCTGAAGAAAATTATTAATTATTACTCAAAATATAGGATGTTCGTTTCCTAGGTTCCATTATATGAAATTGGGTGTTCGTTCCCTAACTAGTACGTTCAAATATTATAAAATATTTTTTCTTTTAGAAATGAATATATATATATATATGTATATACACACACACAAATTATTTACAGCGTTTTTAGTAAGTTTATTTCGTCCTCTGTATCCAATTTCGTCCTTTGTAACTACTTTTTTTTTTTTTTTATAGTTTTAAAACGTAAAAGGATCAAACTGTGGCTTTTAATTGTCTTTTGGCTTTTGCGATCATTACATCTTCCTGGAAAATTCTTTTAATATTACTTTATAAGCAATCACCTTTATTTTTGGCACACCAAAACATACAGTATTAATTAATTGATTTCGTAATTGTAATAAACTTCATAACAAAAACTAAAGCGCAAACGAATCTCTAATGAGCGCGTTTTGGGCCTTTTGGCTTACATATAAATGGCAACTTTAGAATAATTACGCAGCTAACACCACTCCAAATCTTTTAATTATAGGATGATGGCATTTATTAAAAGGAAGGGAAAGTTCAATCAGTTATCTTTACTTCAACAATCATATGGAACAAGCCTATCAGATAAGAGGCATAATTAATTGTTTACTTCCGTCAAATTTAAGTAAGTAGGGGAGCAAAGAAGAAATCATTAATTCAATTAACTAAACATACTCAGATTCCTTAAAAAGCTTATTAGTAAAATTGTAAATTACTATATAAATACACTTGCAAGAATAAAAATGATGAGAGAAGATTGGTAGTGGATTTTTCTGACCTCTTCAACTTGAATTTTAGGGTTCCTTCAAGTATTGAAGCAGCCATGGCTTCCTGGTTTCCCTATACAATTACGGTAACTCTGCTCTATTTTATATTTCTCGCTTTTATTTATTCTCAAGAATTTTGTTTATTCAATGTTAATCTTTTTGATTTGCGATGTTGGATCCCTAGATAATACGTAAACAATAAGACTAGAAATTGCGGAAAAGATGGTTTCGATCAATAGAGATTCCTGCCTTGAAAATTAGGATTTGAAAGAAATTAAAGGTTGATCAATTAATTATTAGTTCGTTTCATCAAGTGATTCACTCTATTAAACTACGACGATGTTGAATAATGTGGACAATTTTAACGTGGCCGAACGAGTATGGGTAAAGGTCATGATTTTTTTGTCCAACATATGTATCCGATTGCAATTTAATTAGAAGTTTTGGAATCGATTCATAAGTAGTATTTTTAATTTTATTTTTTTTAAGAAGAAACCACCATTTTTTCTTAATTATTATTATTTTTTTTTTGGATTTTTTAAAATGTGGTATAGAAAAGAAAGCCGCCACCGGCCAAGGAAAAAGCAGCAGCAGTAGCAAAGCCGCAAGAAGCACCACCATCACCGCCGCCGCCGGGACCATGCAGCAAAGAGAACCCCTGCATGGCTGCATACATCATGGAGAACCTGCGCAACTATCCAGGAGAGATTAACATTCAGATTGGCCGAAATCGTCGTCAGGCGGCGTATGGTGGTGGTGGTGGTGGGGGTTCATCCATCCACCCGTTTGGTGGTGGCGCCGGCGGTTCATCCATTCCTCCCGGCCGACTTCCGCCTTATCAACAACAAATGCAGCTGGATTATGGTTACGATGATTATGATGATGATCATGATTATGGCCGCCTTCAAAGATCATTAGCCCATCCTCTTCCTCAGCGTTATAATAACCACCAAATGCAGCAGTTTCAATGTCCTGGCTCTGGTGGTTATGATCCATATAATGATGATGATGATTATGGCTCTCATCGGCCGTTTGCGATGCGGCCGCGGCCCTATAATAACCGGATGCCGTTACAACACGCTTGCTCAGCTGGTTATGATTATGATGATTATTGTTATGGTTATGGCCATCAAAGACCATTCGCCCCGCTGTTTGATCAAGCCAGGGATTTCTATGGACGTTCTGGTGGCTATTATTGAGGGACATTGAGGGGTGGGGGGTGGACAAATAGTATATATGATGGGATTTTATTGAACATTTTCTTGTCGTGGCTTAAGTAGGGCAATTCATGGTGTTAAGCAATATGAAAATGCAATATGAAAATATATTGCCAATAGCAATATGAAAATACATAAAAGTTGCCCATGAAGTAGCAATATTGCGATAGCATATTTACCATATTAAAATGCTCCAGTAGTAGCATTGTAGTGAAATATTTGATGAAATCTTATAAATTAATTTCCTTCCATTCCCCGAATTGAGTGGGCAGTAAATTATTCGAAGGCAAATTATAGACATTAAATCTATAATAATTATGTATATATACAATTCTTAACCTGAAGTTAGAGAATTAGTTTGAAGACATGTTCAATTTAGACATGGTCTATTTCCTGAAGTGAATGTGACGATCATGAATAATGCGATTGGTGATTTTAGCATATACACTATTAACCACCTGAAGTTGAAAAAATGGTGAAAACACTACTATCGATCTGAATTTGAAAAGTAGTATATTGCAAATGCTATCATTGTTGCATAAAATCATTGGGTTCACATGTTCTGCATACCCACAATTATCTTATTAATATCTTCAATATAATATTAAAACTAGATGAATTCATTAGTCCTGTCGACAATGAATTAACAAATCATAATTTGATCTTTGTTAAAATGCACTGAAGGTGATTTAAAAAATTTAGAGATAAAAATGTCAAATATGTCAAATACGCTGAAGGTGTGGTGGTCTTTTGGCCATCATAGTAATGATACTATTTAATTGACATTTCTATCTACGTGTTCAAAGAAAACAAGATCTAAATTTGTTAATGGCAAAAGTATGCCTTGTACATAGTGCAACTCATATTACCTCTCTGGGTATTGTGAATTTGATTAATCGCCCTGAAGGGGATGTTAGTCAATGATAAACACGAAATCAATTAAAAGCTCCAATAGTGCATATGTCATTGAATTATTCAACAAAGATAAAAGTTGAATATTGAGTGCCTATAAGAGCAATAATGAAGCGGTCTAATAGAATCGTTTAGAGTGCAATTAAAGTAATTACCTCATGTATAGTTCAGAAAGTGATAAAACACAAAAGGCACCAATTATATGCATAAGACCAAACAGATCATTGCAGATATTCTCCTCAACAGTGGTTTTCGGTCAGAAATCATACATATTCATCTTCAAAGATTACATGTGCAATCTATATTATAATTACTCCACCACAATACACAAAAAGATTGAGCCTCCAGAAGAGGTTAGCAATATATGTTGAACATTGAATATCTAGTTTTTGAAATATTGTTGTTGGATTAACTACTCGATGAACTGATCATATTAGTTTGACGAGTTATATACTCTCAAAACGGAGATTATAAACTGCTCGGTTGGTTAATCGTCATTTTAGCGAGTTAGTTATCCCAACATCAGGGGGAGAAGTTAAAACAGCCTATTTATAAAATCAAATGGACAATGTAATTATCTCATTATGATCCTCGATGATATGAACCTGAAGTTCAAGAAATAATGTTTAAGACCAGATGTTTACCTGACCGAATATATAAATATATCTTATATAAAAGGCTATTAAAAGTTAGAATTTGATAATGTGTCTCTAAAGGACTATCTACCACTATTCTTTACTTGAATGTCCATTTGATAAGTGGTAGAACCATCAATTCCAAATGATAAAAATCCACGTAAATGACAAGTTTTAAATCTATAGAGATTGTAAATATGAATGATTATAATTCATAAGAATTTTTTAACCGAAATAGTTTCCCACTACGGTGAATTAATTTCCAAAAGAAGTGCATGAATACTTGGAAAACTTAATGATTGTGAGATCTCATTACCAAAGAACATGGAATCGATCATCAATAAAATGTCGACATGAAAATTGCTTATGCTGCAGCAGTAAAATAAATGAAAATGAGGATCATGAAATGAAAGTCTGTTGTAGATACAAACATTAAATTTATTGGCCACAACAAATAAAAAGACGCAATACACACTTGACGATGTGTAATTGCTTGCGAACTAGAAGTTTGGCAAGTGATATACGGGCTAGATTTTGGCGGGTGGTTGTGCAAAAGATTATCGAGCAACCTCTTTTTTTCACAAGTTTTTCCCAAAGTCCGGTTTATCTTGTGGTCGATAAAAAGGAAAATCTTCTGTTATTTGTTAATCTGGTAGCAAATAAAGATAAGAAATGCGTCTCTTGATTATAGTGATCACTTAATATGTGATACTTAATAATGACGTCTATATGAAATCCCCGAAGGATTAAAAATAACGGGACATGATCCCAATTCTCGAGAAATTAATTCAGAGGCTTGCGCAAGTTATAATGTCTTCATGTGTCTAGATATTTAGGTTCATGTTTTTGAATATGATAGATATGTTATCTTTGTTTTTATCTAGATATGTTATGTTTGTTGGTAACATGATTTTCTATCTGTTTTTATGATCATATTTGAATGATAGGATGATAACTAATACTAGAGTGAGTATTCATAAGCCATATGTGCATCACATTTTTTTAGTATGAAACTCTTGTAGAGTTTCAAAAGGCTGAATATTATCGAAACTTATCACGGAGTTCGAATAGCCTGGATATCAGTAAAACTCCTGAAGAGTTATATGAGAGTTTTGAACACTTCTAAAGAAGTTCAAAAGGTTGCTACTTGCCTGAAGTAAGGATAATAAAACATCTTGAGTAGAATCTCGATCTAAATAGTTTGACTTTTGTATATTCAATACCCGTTGGGCGTACTTGATTAAAATCTTGATGTGCATATAGATCCTTGTTCTTGACTTTCTATTAAAATGATGTAGACCGATTTGGTCATGAAGTACCATATAAATTTTCGGTTTCTCTAATCAATTAGTCAATACTTGGATGGTGTATATTAATACCTTCAAGGTATGATGGTCATGCATCTCTATTATTATTAAACACTCAAGATTATATAGATATATGAAGACAGCTGTCTATATGAGAAGTCGAAGTAATCTGTCTATTATTGACTTAAATCATGAACATGGTCAATAGCTTGGCATGCAACGAGAAGATTACAAGTAGCGTACTTAATAGGGGGAGTAACCCACGCTGTACTCTTTTTTCCTAGATCGAGGTTTTGTCCCAATGGATTTTCCTGACAAGGTTTTTAACGAGGCATCGTCACATTCGGAAATGTACCTTTTTTTCATTCACTAGGGTTTTATCCCAAAGGGTTTTTCCTAATAAGGTTTTAACGAGCCATTATTCACCAAAGATGGACATTTAAAGGATGAATGTTATGAAATATTTGATTTGATTGAATGTCCATAATTAACATGTGTTATTCTATTCAGAATCAAGAAGATATAATTCTGTAATATTTAGTATTAATGATAGGGAGTAAACCGCATAAAACGTCCCGTACATTTGGTCGAATAATCATTTTCATCCCGTGTATTTACGTCCGATTTCGTCCAAAAAGAACCATTTTTCGACTATTTACGTCCCAACATAACTTTCCATCCATTTGACCGTGAAAATGGAGGGTATTGTTATCTTTTCGCTCCTCTTCTGGTTTTCAAGTATTTAAGGAATAAAATAATAATTAAATAATAATAAAATAATTATAACATATTTATAAATTTCAAAAAATCAAAAATAAAAATTCCATCAATTTAAAAGGGTGGGGCCGCAGTAAATGAATTTTTTTCTCATTTACCATTGTGAACAGTAAATTTTTTTATAAAATATTAAAAATTTTCAAAACTCAAAAAAATTCAAAATTTGAAAAAAAAAAGGAAATTGGCTCCATTTACCTTCTTACCCAAGATGCTACAGTAAACCCTAAAAGTAAAATAATTTTTTTTCCTTTACAAAAAAAGGGAACGGACCCTTTCTCTTCTACCATCGCCGTCTCTCTCGTCCACCGTTAACACTTCTTCTCTTCCTAGAAACCAACTCAGATCTAGCCATGGCCGCCTCTAACAGTAGCAACAACGGTAATAATTCGCCTAATTATCAGTTCAATAAACATATCTACAATGAATGTAGGTCGACATGCACAATAAAGGTATCAAGTAGCAGAAATAATCTGGGGCGGCTTTATCACCGTTGCCTATATCACAGTTTTGTAACTTGGGTCGTTCTGATCGGAGATGCTGGGTACGGGTCAAATGATTTAAGAAGAAGGCACGTTGGGCGGGTGGATACAAATTATAAAATTGTTAATGATGGTAATCGCAATGTGGCAATTGAGGGATGCAATCCCATTTGCAAGTGTAATTGCAAGTGGGCGTATAAAATTCTTTTATTTCTTCATGTTAGCTGTTTGTTATATATTCTAGTCCTTCTTCTGGTTTTAGCAAGTAAGTGATAGTGTATTTTGAGTGCATTTTGCTTCTCCATGTCAATCATAATGTATCGTAGTGGAATGTCGATCTATGAGGGAACTTTGATTTGTGTTTGGTTGTACCGAGTTTGGAACTGAATGAGTAATTTGTGCAACTATTTTCGTCCCTACTTTCTATTGAAACATTTTTTTATCCCATACATTTGTGTGGAAACTTTTTTTGTCCCACGTTACGTGGTCAAACACCAAATACTATTTAGTCAATATGAACCCTATAAAATAAGGTCTCACTCTTGTTGGGTAGCATAAAATAGTAAGGTAAGGTCGATAAGTAGTGCATTCCCAGATCTGTCTAAAAGAAACCAGAAAAAAACACATAAGGGTTGCTTGGCTCTCCCAAATCTGCCTTTTGGTCCACGTCCAAAAGACCAGAATGATTACTTCCTTCCTGTATAGTGTAAGTATGATTAATCCTAATACTCGATCTAGGATATAGTTCTGCATTAATAGCATTTTTTTTATGTTGTTTAATCAGTTTGCAGTAGCAGTTTTGGGAGCATTCAAATGTACTATGGTGGGTGTCTGTATGAAAAGCCCTATCCAGTTTATCATGGTGGTGAATTTAGGATGTTCGATAATGTGGATCTTGAAACCATTTCCATTCTTCAATTAAATGAGATGGCACAAAGGATTGGGCTTGTCAGATATGTTTCATTCTACTCTATTAGTGAGATTAATGGAGTGGAGAAGATAGTGGAAGATCGGGTATTTTCCCTCATGTGTGTTGACGCTTTGGATGGCAATCGATTAGTTGTGGTTTTTGCACTTGACAAGGTTGAAGAATGATGTTTTGCTAGAAATGATCCATTCACGCATGGTGACCTTGATGATAGTGACGATGAAGATGACGTCCATGGAGTTCTGGAAGAGTGTGAGTGGGAATCTTCAAAATCTGAATGTTATTGTGAGATTCCTAACCCACAGCAATTGATTAGGGCCTTAGCCTATGCATGGGTTTGCAAGGAAGCCAGGGATTGATTTCTTGTGTACTTCAAATCCTCTTTAATAATTGGTTCAAAGTTGTAATCCTTTATCTTTTGTTGCATTTGTGTAAAATTTTGTATTTCGCTACAAATCTGAACAAAACGGTTCAACGAAATCGAGTATTTCTACTTTGTTTTGCAATTTAGCGTACGAAAAATCCCGACTTGCATTATTTATAGCACCAACTTAGTTTAGTTTTTAGATATATATAGGACAACAATAGTTAAGGATTTTGATGTTTAGGACAAAATTAGTCAAGGATTTAGATACATAGACCAAAATAGTTGAAGGTCTAGATGTACAGGACATAAATAGTACAGGATTTTGAGGTTTTGTACCAAAATAGTTAAGGATTTAGATACATAGGACAAAAATAGTTAAAGGTTTTTAAACTCCCGATTTTAATAAAATCTACGATTATAGGACTTTAATGTATCGATTCTAAGTCTACTAGAATCTTAATCCATGTTAGAATCTTAAAAATCACAAATTACTGATGACATAAAAACATTAACTACAAATATACAATACCATCACTTTTAGTGTTTCACGGTTTCATTTACTCCCCGTCGGGGAAAAAAAAAGAAAAGAAAACATTGTTTCCTCCTCTGAAAAAATCGCGAACAATCCATACTTTAAACCAACTCTAAACAATCCAAGCTAAACATTAAACCAAAAGCTAAGCAATCCAAGCTAAACAATCCATACTTTAATCCAAAAGATTAACAATCCAAGCTTAACAATACTTTAAACCAAAAACTAAACAATCTAAGCTAAACAATCCATACTTTAATCCAAAAACTTAACAATCCATACAGCTTAACAATACACAGGTCAACTATCCAACCAAACTACCAAAATACATCAATATGAAGAACAAAAGCCTAATACAACAGTGCCCCAATCTTCTTTGGGTGGGATTGTTGCATCTTCCGAATCCTGATTACCAACTGCATCTTCTGTGGGTGGCATATTTTCATTTGGTTCTTCTCTGTACATATCGGCAACGGTGCTTGTACATGTTGTCCGATAATGTCTAGTTTGCTTACACAATTGACATTGAACAGTCCTTTTTGCCTAGAAATTTAACATCATCAATTTAGAGAGAAAAGAAAAAAAGATAAAGTAAATTAACAACATCTTGTACATGTTGAAAAACAATGTACCTTCTTTTTAGGCTGGCCCTTGGTATTGGGTTTCTTCTTCCTCTTCTTAGACTGCTCAGATGGAACAGCTCTACCAGTAAACTGCCTCTTGTTATGTCCTTCAAGGCCGCATTCTGAACACTTGTAGGTCATTGTGCCAGTGTGAGACAGAACCTCAACATCACCTTTTTTCTTTACACGCATTTCCCTCAACTCTTCCTTAGTCTTCTTTCTAGACTTTGGAGGTCTTCCAGCTCGAAGAATTTTGTCAGGAGGCATAATATTTGGTTTTTTCGTCTTTTTCCACATTTCTTCACCATTTGTGGGATAAATGACGTATTTGTAAGCAGTTTCATAAGCTGCCTTCGAGTAATAATTGTGCACATAAGCTTCAACCGGCTCCTTAGTCTGACCGATTGTTGCAATTGCGTGATGGCAAGGTATGCCTGTCAACATCCACCTTCTGCACGAGCAAGTTCTAGCCCTTAGATCCACTGTGAACTGTTCACCACTCTTAGTACTTACTTGATAATTCCATTCTCCAGCATCCACTGCCCAACACTCACATGTTCTCTCCTTTAAATTTTCCAGCATCTTCCTTATTTTTGGGCCAACAACATCAACCATTTTAGCAGCAGCTTCCCTCTTCTGACGGTGTCTCTCCATAAGATACAAAAAGATACATGTTAGCAAGGTCAGTAAGGCCTTTTCCCTAGCATGAAGCAATACCTTATTTATGCACTCAAAGATATTGTTCACCAAAACGTCACAATTCGCATGATACTTGAAATGTGACATTGTCCAGTTCTTAGGGTTTGTGTTGCTCCTCAACCAATCGATAGCCTGGGGCTCTAGAACTCTCAATTGCTCGATGATGGTCTTGTACCTTGCAGGATAAGTTGCTCTAGCTGCAGCCAACAACAAGTCTTTCAACCCTGGGATTCCAAATGCCGTTTTAAAATTGTTGTGCATATGCCACACACATTCTGTGCTCAGCACCGAGAAGACATGTTTTTACTGCCTTAATAAATCCCTACAATAAAGCAAATGATTATTAAACCTAAAACCCTTTGAATGTAGTACACAGGTCCTAAACCTAAAACCCTTAAAAAACAGTACATTAGCAAATGCATACAAACAGTACACAGGTCCTAAACCTAAAACCCTTAAAAAACAGTACATTAGCAAATGCATACAAACAATACACAGGTCCTAAACCTAAAACCCTTTAAAAAGTAATTGAAAAAATACACCTTTTTCTTGTCACTAATAATCGTCCATTTGCTTGGATCCTTGATGTCCAAATCAAGTTGGAGGTTCCTGACAAACCAAGTCCAGGTGTATGTGTTCTCGGTCAGCACCACATATGCAATAGGGTATGTCTGATCATTCGGGTCAATGCCAATTGCAGTCAACAAAATGCCCTTGGTAGGTTCCTTCAAGTGGCATCCATCAAGGCCAACGATTGGCCTATAGGCTTCTTTGTAACCCCTTTTAGACGCGTCCAGGCATATATAAATGCCTTTGAATTTTTTAGTACCATCTGATAGATCTTCCATATCCAAATCAATTATAGAGCCTGGGTTTGTTCTCAGCAACTCAGCTTTATAATCGTAAAGTCGTTTGTACTGACTTACAATATTATCTTCAATCATTTCAATGGCTAAATTCTTCACTCTTTCTACCTTGCCCCTGTGAACATACATACTCATCTTCGTACTAAGTTTCTCCTACAGTTGAGTCACCCTTGTCTGTGGACATAAACGAATATCCTCCATGAACATCCTTGCAAGATACTTTGAACTAGCACACCCATGGTTGTGATCCCTACCACCACAAATGTGTTTTCAGTTAAGGCGGGAAACATTCCAATAACATTTTTTCGGCCTGTGAATAATGACATGCTAGTTGCAGTTACGTTCAACACCTCTACACACTGCGTGGCACCTGATTTTATCATCCTTCTTGAAACGTATATGTTTCCCCATCTTCACACCTTGATGCTTGCACAAATCTTTGAACTCCTCCTTCGTAGAAAACCTCAACCTAATTTCCCACCTTAGGTTATCATAATCTGTATTTTGTTTGTACCTTCTAAACATTGGTCTTCGTGCCCATCAGATTCATACTCAGTTTCTTGACCACTGAGAAGTTCTTCGGACTCACCAGAACTCTCCAACTCTTCGTCATATGCAACAAATTCAGGTTGTAGTTTGAACTCAGGTTCCTTTAAAATCTCATCCCAAACTTTTGCCCTCTCTTTAACGATAATTTCTTCCTCTTTTGTATCCAGGTCATAGTCACTGTCATGGAATTCAGCATTTCCATTTGGCTCTACCTCTTTTGCCTTGATCTTCTCCGGCATTTTAGCAAGGGTATCATCATCAGAATTATACTCTGTATATGTTCTGACCACTTTCTTCTTCTTCTTCTTCTTCTTTTTCTTCCCTTTTCCCTTTCCTCCTTCACTGTTGCAGTCTTTTACTGAACCAGTTGCTGTCTGCACTGCTTCTTCAGAACCACTGGTGTTGCGTTGTGTTTTTGAACAAGTGTTGACCTCAGCTGCTGCTTCAAGTTGGTCATTGTTGCACTCTTTATCTGAACCAGTTGCTGTCTGCACTGCTTCTTCAGAACCACTGGTGTTGCGCGTTGATTTTTTGAACAAGTGTTGACCTCAGCTGCTACTTCAAGTTGGTCACTGTTGCACTCTTTATCTGAACCAGTTGGTGTCTGCACTGCTTCTTCAGAACCACTGGTGTTGCTTTGTTTTATTGAACAAGTATTAACCTCAGCTGCTGCTTCAAGTTGGTAACTGTTGCACTCTTTATCTGAAACAGCTTCTGCCTGCTCTGCTGCTGTTGCATCACCTTCACTGTTGTATGTTTGTTCATAAACAATGTTCACCTCAACTATGTTTTCATCACCAGCACACTTGGACTCTCTGTCTGACCCAATTTCTTCATCGTCTCCTTCTTTATCACAACCAGCACCCACACCAGTATTTTCCTTATCTGTTCTCCTAAGAATGTGTACATCTGGTCCTTCATCACAATCGATACTCTCCAGAATCTATACATTATGACCAGAACAAATATTGTTCTTCTTTATTGCACTCAGTTTCTTGTTTTTCTTCATCTTAACAGCAGCCATCTTTTGTCTTGGTTTTGGCCATGGACCATTTAGAAGCTTATTTACCATACGAGGGGTGAGAACTTCCTGTGTAAGCGGACTATCAACCGGGTCATCTTCATCATCAGAAAGTTCACCGTCTTTATTCTGGTGCACTACAAACGGATCAACCAAACCATGCTCTAATCCAATTGTAGCCATGGTATTTGCAGAATCATTGGAAGACAGTAGTGCCAATCCTTCGTCCATGTCCTTTCCGTCACCAGGTATTTTCATATCCTCGTGAAGAAATGCATTCACTTCTATTTTTGACCAGTAATCTGCATTGCATTTCCGCATGGCGGTGACATATCCACCTCTGTACAATCTTCCCGGTGACTTGGATAGAAATCCATTATAATGGACCTGTACAGTGAAGAAACCATCTGCACAAAATCCACACAAATGTCAGTAACTATTTTGGTCCAATACTTTTTAGCAGCAACTATTTTTGTCCTATCCATTTTTGTAGCAACTATTATGGTCCTATACAATTCAGTGGAAATTATTATAGTTTAATTATTGAATCCATTCAGTAGAAACAAATTCAACAACTAGTTTTATTCAATTATTGAATCCATTTTGACACTGCACTTTCATCAATGCACGTATAGGACAAATTAACAGTACACATCAACTTAAATGCACAAGTTCAAAGACAAAAAAAAGTGTATTCACAATCCATTGACTACTTGTAATTTAAAAATCGATTTCCCTTCTCCAACAAATAAAAAAACAAAAAAAATATTTCAACCTACATCTGCGGCATGAAGTTCGACAACGACTAAAAATTGCATAAGGAAGATGCTTTTGTGAAGAAAACTTTATCACATTCATGTCCCACTAAAATCCCTTCTAAGTTTTAGACAATGACCCATATAATAAACAGCGCTACCAAAAAGTTCCAACTTCTAATCTATTCATGCCACCAAAACAGGACCCATACAAGGAACAACTCAATAAACAACTCTTTCGCTCCTCTTTCGACAAACATAGAGAAAAAGAACAAATTATTGATATACAAATATCGAGTTTTACACCCTAAACTCACATGTATTATGGTCTCGTTGGATGCTTCGGATATTAGATTTCGTTCGCCACATTTTTTCACCTGATGAACTCCGATTTCCTCGATTTGCAGAAACCCAGATTTAATCGACCACCGACACTCCGATTCTAGTCCATCTCGTTATGATTCAGGGTTAGAATTTGGTTCTTTCTTCAGATCTGATGAAATGGAGTTTTGGTTTTCGCAAAAGTGAGAACTCTGAAATGGAGTTCGAAAGTTCCAAAAGTTGCTACAAAAAAGACCCGAAAAATATGTTAAGTACTTCCCCAAAAAGAATAATAATAATTTTTTACATTTCAGTTACTGTAGCAAATCAGTAAAAAAAATTTTACGAAGCCTTTACAACTTTACTTCAGTCAATTTCCTTTTTTTTCAAATTTTGAATTTTTTTGAATTTTGAATATTTTTAATATTTTATAAAAAATTTTACTGTTCACAATGGTAAATGATAAAAAAAATTTATTTACTGTGGCCCCACCCTTTTAAATTGATGGAATTTTATTTTTGATTTTTTGAAATTTTTAAATATTTTATAATTATTTTTTTATTATTTTATTCCTTAAATACTTGAAAACCAGAAGAGGAGCGAAAAGACAACAATACCCTCCATTTTCACGGTCAAATGGACGGTAAGTTACGTTGGAACGTAAATAGTCAAAAAATGGCTCTTTTTGGACGAAATTGGACATAAATGAGCATTATCCATATCTATTCTCTTGTTTTCTCTCTTTTGTTCTTATGCTTAGTTGATATTATTAGTTTATCGTTAATTTTATAACAAAAAAGAGTATCCATATAACAAAAAAGAGTATCCATAAAAATTAAGTAGTTTTTGGGTGCTTAGAACTCTCCAAGCAAGGACTCACCTGAGATAATGTCAGGTCCAGCTTGGTTGAATCCAAGCACAATCCAAGTACATGCTTACTTCATTAAAACTTTGCAATTCATCCTGGCTCCCCACACAATGATATCTCTTGGTGTTCAGCGAATAATACACCAATTCTTTGCTGTAAAACATGGGGAAATAGATTCTGTTTGCCATATCTGGCCTTTCTGCCAGATAAGACAACGATGACGGTGAGCTCAAAAACAAACAGTACCCTTCCAATGAATTCATTTCTACCCATTTCTTCTTCTCATCCTGAAGCTTAAAAACTCGAACCCAAGACTTGTTTCCTTCAACATTTCCGCCCCCACCAATAAATATGGATAAAATCTCTCCACCACACTCGGTTAGATAGTTCCGTCTGAAACCCACAACTGGAGATGCGAGGTCCGCAAAAACTTCCCACCGGAACGGCGGGTTTCCACTTTCAGTCAATCGGCCGCGTCCAAGTAAACCATCATCGCCTAAATAATAACAGAATTCCCCCACGAAAACTGGGGTATTGCCACCTTGGCGGAAAACTCGCCGCGGGTCCTGTTTCCCGACAACAAACACCTGCCACTCTGCTTGTGCAGGACTACTCCTAGGTCGTTTGATGAAGTATGAATCGGCCCATGTTCCAAATGCGGACATTTCTAAAATTGCGCATTGGGAAGAAGATGGCTTTCCTAAAAAGGTAGAGTTTATAATCCCATGCTTTGTTCTTGGTTGAGCCCCTTCACGGATGACTACTTGCATTGTCAACGGGTTAAAGAAAGCTCGGTGTCCATAACGTTTCAGGAGTAGCCAACCAAATCTGGAGCAGGAAATCTCGTACTTTCTTATGACCTCGGGAATTTTGATGGAGAGTTTTCGATTAAGGTTGGAATCTATTATGTGGTACACACAATTAAGATTGTCCTTGTAAATCAGGGATGGAGGGAAGGGATTTATTCTGGTCCGGATAGTGCTGGCGGCACACAGTTTATTGACACAGCGAAAATCCATGTAGTCAACTAAAGATAGTCTTCCTGCGATCAAATCAAGTACCTTATCTGATAGATCACACAATGAGGTCATTTCCCTCTTGCTTATTTTTCTTCTCCTGTGTTTATTCGAGAAATCTGCCGGCTTGTTTTCCATTGGGTCTTTCGGCAAATCGACAATGTTGCAACTACTAACAGGTACACTATCATGTAATTGTGAACCACATGGTTGTAGACTCAAGGCAGGCATAATCCAATAGGAAAGCCATGGTTCTTGCAAATATAATGTTACCTTATCATCCTCAACCCTGTAAGAGAATAAGGTTTGATCACTCTCTAAAGTAAAATAAATGTAACTCCACAAGGATGCGCCTTGTCTGCTGCAATAAAAAGAATGAGAACCGCACAAGAACGCTGCCCCTCCATCAAAACTTTTCATACTCTTCCAAGCATTTTGAGAAAAGTTGAATTTGTAAATGCGTATTTTGTCTGGTCTTGGATATTTACTGAAAGAAGATTCCGGGAAAATTAAAATCAGACAAAGGGCAGACCCATCCATTGATAGCAAGAAACTTCGATGGTTCGAGTTGGATCGGCCTCTAAGGGGGATTGTTCCAGCTAAATGAATCTCGCAACCATTTTTTTTACCATGATCAATACTAATCCGCACCAAATCCATCTCACAAGATGCTGTGGCGTATATTGTACCATTAAAACTAACAGGACTGCACAAGAAATAGCCTGGTCTAACCGGAGTACCTGATTGAGCTTCAATGCTCTGTGCATAATTGAATTCAGACCAGTATTTTATATCACCACCAACATGACAATATAAGATCAAAGGGATCTCAGTAAAAAACAAAAGTACCAAATTCGAGTTGGAATCAGGGAGTGTTGACGAGGAGGAAGACACCAATCCTTCATGAATAGTATTCCTCTGCAGTCCTTGTCTCAGGCCGGGCAGAGTAATTGACTCCCCTGTGGTAGGACTCCATAAAATAAAGCTCCGAACCCGGTTCTTTTTCTGAAGAAAAAGTAACCAATTGCCGTCAGGGGAAGAGTACAATAATCTTCTGTCATGGAATTGGAATAGTCTTGGATATTAAACCTGAAGATGATGATATGTCACCAAAGGTTTGATTCTGGTGACGATCGCCGTGAAGATACACCAGCCAAGGATAAAGATTCTTTGATTGTAACAACCCAGGCGCCGGAAATTGATGCTCAGAGGGTCTGTTTCCGAGCAATTCCCCTCTCATGATACGAGATAATTAATGCACGGGTGAATGGGATTGGCCGGAAGGGCTACGGGATTTATTCGGAAACGAAACGTAAATTACCAAATCTCTTAGGCTCGGTCTTGCAGTCCGATTGATATTGTATTGTTAATATGAGGCTGTAATATGGGAGGTTTTTCCGCTAAAAGATAACAAATGCGGGAGTTTCCAATACTCAATCTCATCCCGAACAACTATTTATTAAAAAACGTAGTAATTCAACACCCCTAGTCCCACATTCATCCGAAAACCCACTAGTCCTAGAAAGAAACCCTAGTCCTATTTATTATTGACAAATTATTTAATATTTTTTTACATATAGGCCTAGGGTTTTCTTGATTTAGCCTTATCCATCAGAAATTCATGTGGCTGATTTGAAATTATAAATATTGTGGTTATCTATTGACTATTTTAACCCTTATCAAAATCGCTCAGAAATTCATGTGGCTGATTTGAAATTATATCGCTCAGAAATTCATGTGGCTGATTTGAAATTATAAATATTGTGTTTATTTATTGACTATTTTAACCCTTATCAAAATCGCTAATATAATCGAGAGTTTTTCAGCCAATCAACATATTGAAATATTATTGGAATATAATTGGATTGGTTCTTTTATAGGTAAGTAGGTCTTTCATGTCGCGCGTTGCACGACCAGTTGTTTTTTCGAATCTGTTTATGTCGATTAAAATCAAACGTCTTACAAGAGAATACAATAGTTAATCTTCCATTAATAAGTTAAGTTGATACTATAGTCGATCTAATGTTACACATAGCCAAATATTTTATATATTACGAGTTCACGCTAGTAGTGGGGCTTTTCATTTCCTAATTTACAAAGTGCCATAAACTATTGTACATATTTAGTGGACATACTTGGCAATAAATATGAAGTTCAGAAAAATACTTCTTAAAATGGATGCCCAAGTCCCACTACATCTTACTATATATTAAGGAAATTTATTTCACAAGACACATGTCAGGCAATTAGATTACCGATAATTTTTAATTACACGTGTTATCTTCTTATTCGTAGAGAATTTTTTATAGTTCACCTATCATCTTCTAATTCACGGATTTTTTTACGGGTATTTTATACAAGTAACATGGTTATTTTAAATAGGGTAAAATAGGTATTTCCTAAAAAAATAACTTTTTTCAAATTAAAAGATTGAGGCAAACCATCTTCGAATCATCATCTCCGACCACAAAAATCTCCCAACAAGTCCCTTTGACAGGGCGAAACAAAAAGTCAACACCTTGAAAGAATGAATCAATGGAATGAAAAAAAATCCTAGGAAACTTCTGGCAGAAAAATATGAAAAATTAAAGAGAAATAAAATTTTAAATTGAATGCCTTTAATGGCCCCTTCGTTAACCCAAAAAACCCAATAAAGCACATTCCTCAACCATTCATCAACTTCAGCAACGTCTTCCGCCACGCCACGCCACCGCCACCGCCACCGCCTCCATCGGCCCCATCCCACATCGTTATCATCCGCCATTGTTTGAACCAATATTGCCAAAATTACATATTCCTGATGACAAATCAGATCTAAATGTGATTTCCGATGATTGTGTTTATTGGAGATCGGTGAATCCGAGAGATGCCTCTTGTAATCTTTGTGTAGGATATGCGGCCGCACCGGCGGTGGCTGGTTGTAGGACGATGGGTAGAAATCAGAAGAGAAAGAGAGGAATCAGAAGAGAATCAGAAAGACATGTATATCGGAATTTTGCAAAATAGAGAAGAAAAAGAAAAAAACGTGAGGGCGGCGGCTGGTGGAGGGGATAAGACGATGGGTAGGTTAGGTTTTTTAATGTGAAGTTTATAAAATTATATTATGAGCGCCCTTAGTTTAGATTAGTGATAAATGACCTGAAAGTTAACATAATACTTAAAGTTGTAACCAAATTTGTATTTATTTTATTATGTTATGAATTGTTAAATGAATTTATTATATTAGGCAAATAATATAATTTGGACAAATGTGTGTGTTTTTTTCTTTCGATTAGTCGCAAAAAGGGTTCTTTAATTATCAATTGTAATAAAGTTTCAAAAACTTTTTTTTTTGAATAGTAAGTTATTAAAGGGAGGTAACGAGGGTTTACTTTTTTAAAAATAAATTTGCCAATAACTTGTCTATTGCATTGGATAATTTGTTGTATTTCAGTCTATTACTTTCTGGAAGCCCAATAGCGTTACAAAGACATGAGATGAACTGAGTTTTTTTTTTTGGTTATAAGTAATAAAATAGAATCGTAGAAATTATTCCTTCAATGATACTTTTACAATGAATGTGTTCATGTTTTTTATTCAACGGGCTGTTAAAAAATAATAAAATGGCAATCAAAACCATTGCAAGTTTTTAACCTAATTAAGACTCAAAACCTTTTAAGCAAGATAATGCAGAATGACGTGGTGTTAAAGATGGAAATGAAAATGGAATGAGATCGTCAGAAAATAGTCCATTGATAATGAGACCAGTTGGTAGACGACTTTTTCATATCTCTCTCTCTCTCTCTATATATATATATACATATATTAAAAGAATTTTTTTCCTAAGACATGTGTCAGTCAATTAAGATACTAATAGATTTCAATGTAAAATTATAAAACTAAAATGGTGAAGATTATATTTTTACTATTTTTCTTAAGCTTAACCATTTTATTTTATTGGTTGTTCATTAAAGTGTAACTTTATAATGTAAATAGTTAATTCTTAAACCTTTTAATTAACACACTTGACATCAGTGTGCATGTTGCCTTTGTGTTAATTATAGTATGGAAATTAACGATCACCTATTTAGACAACAAAAATAAACAACGGATCAATCACATTGACCTTAATTTTCTAACAAATTAACGAGCTTTTAAAAATACTAAAATAACAAGATTTTCATTTTAGATTCAATTCTAATAATACTTTTAAGCACCAATATGCAGAATGACATGGCACTTAAGATGAAAATAAAGAAGTATTGAGAGTTGGTTTTCTTTCCTTTCTTTTTATCTTCTTTAATTTTTTTGGTTCAATAGGTTTTCAAAAATACTAAAATAGCATACAATACCATTGCTCATTTTAACCTATCAAAGACTCAGAACCTTTTAAGCGGGATGATGTAGAGTGACATGTGGTTAAAGATGAAAATGTAGATGGAATGAGACCCACTAGCCCTCTTTTTTTCCCGTTTTTAACCTATTTAAGACTCAAAACTTTTAAGCAAGACAATGCAGAATGACATGCTATTAAAGATGGAAATTAAAATGGAATGAGACCTCAGAAAACGGTTCGTTCATAATTAGACCCGATGGAAGACGACCCTTTCATATCTCTATATCTCTATATATATTAATGAAATTTTTTTCTAGGACACGTGTTAGTCAATTAGATACGAATAGGATTCACTGTAAAATTTTAAAAGTAAAATGATTAATATTTTATTTTTAATATTTTTCTTTAACTTAACCATTTTATTTTATTGGTTGTTCATTAAAGAGTAACTTTATAATGTAAATAGTTAATTGTTGAACCTTTTAATTACCACACTTGACATGAGTGTGCATGTTGTGTTTGTGTTAATTGTAGTATGCAAATTAACGATCACATATGTAGACAACAAAAATGAACAACGGGTAAATCACATTAACCTTAATTTCCTAACCAATTAACGGGATTTTAAAAACAATAAAATAACAAACTTTTCTTTTTAGATTCGATTTTAATAATACTTTTAAGCACCAATATGCAGAATGACATGACTAAAGATAAAGATGGGTTGAGAGTTGGTTCTTTTTTTTTTTTTTTTTTTTGGGTTCAACAAGTGTCAAAAATACTAAAATAACATACAAAATTATTACAATTTTGTAACATATTCAAAGACTCAGGACTTTTTAAGCGGGACGATGTACATGTGGTTAAAGATGAAAATGTAGATGGAATAAAATCCAGTCACTTTTTTTTTTTTAGTTTAATGGGCTATCATAAAGACTAAATAATAGCTAGAACTATTGCTTTTTATAACTTACCAAAGACATAGAACCTTTTATACATGATGATACGGAGTGACATGCTGTTAAAAATGAAAATAAAAATGAAAGGGAACCCGAGTGTTCTTGTTTTTTTTCTCTCTCAAAGAGCGATCGAAAAAAAAAAACTAAACTAACAGCAAAAACCATTGCGGGTTTTTAACATACCAAAAAACACATAGAACCTTTTAAGTAGGGGGATGCAAAACGGTATTCTGTTAAAAAGCAAAATGAAAATGGAATGAGACTTGCCGAAAGACGGTTCTTTCATAACTAAGTTTCCAACCGAACTCTATCGACGACGTCCATTATTAGATAAAATCATCGATCATTTGTTATTGGCAACACGTCCATCAACAAAAACCATGGCAGGTTCTTAACTAATTAAAGACGTAATACCTTTTATACAGGAATATCCAAAGTGACATAATATTAAAAGTGAAAATAAAGATGGATTAAGAGCCGGTTCTTCTTTTCTTTTCTTTTTTTCTTCTTTCCTTTTTTGGTTTAACGGGGGTGTTAATAATTATAAAATAGCAAACAAAATAATTATAATTTTTTAACCTACCAAAAACTCAAAACCTTTAAAGTGAACGCAGAGTGACATGTTGTTAAAGAGAAAAATGAAGATGGGATGAAACCCACTGGTTCTTTTTTTTTGGGGGGGCTTAACGGGTTGTTATAGATATTAAAATAGCAGCTAAAATCATTGCAGATTTTTAGCCTACAAAAAACATGGAACCTTTAAGTAGAACGATATAGAGTGAAATGATGTTAAAAATATAAAATAAGATGGAATAAGACGCGCCAATTTTTTATTGCAATGGGTTGTCGAAAATACTAAACTCAGAACAAATAGTTCTTTCTTATTCTTCTTCTTTTTTCTTTTTTTGGCTCAACGAGGGCTCCAAAAATACTAAAATAGCAGACAAAACAATTACAATTTTTTAA